TCAACACCGCTCTGGAATCCAATCGTTTTCAACTTTGGAGGTTTTCTCTTTCAATCGCTTTGAAACTCCATCAATTGCTATATTCCTTATTCCAATCTCCATCGCTTCCCTATCATCCTTCTCTCTTCTTTCCTTCTCAGACATGCTCCCATCTGTGTGCTGAGGTTTAATAGCAGCCACTGAAGGTTCACGAAGCCATGGTACTGCACAGAACCATAGATGACTAAGGCATTGGGTTGGGCTGTAGTTGGTCTCATTTCAAGGGCAAAATCAAGTATTGGGATGAAGAAGTCAGCCATGTCATTTGCATCTTGTACGCTAAAATCATACTTTTCCATAAGAATCTTATTAAGAGGCCAGAAGCGCAATCTTTGGATGTGCCTCAAATCCCCATTTGTTAAAGAAATCTCGGGAATAGAGACCACCTAGAGCAATCTGAGGAAACGTTATTAGATACTTGAACAGCAAGTGTCACAAATACAATATCCAAGAAAACCATTTATAGTAGAAGTGGTACAAAATGATTCACGGGCTGGCCCATTTTACAGAGGCATTTTCAAGATGTTACCTTGCATGGCATCATTCCTAGAAGCTCCATCATCAATGCCAAGCAATCCTGAAAGTGATAATTACAAAGAATAGGGGGGAAGGGTTCATTGTTATCATAAAGTCATAAATCTTTTTCAAAAACTCCAGCTAAGTCAGAAACGTTAATTGTTATCATAAAGTATTGCCTCTCCAAAACAATTTCCACTTTACAATTAACTTCTGCAGGGTTTTATACGCAGTGCAAAAACCAAGAAAAATTCCTTAACAAACAGTTAGTTTTTCCATGTCTGTGCGTTAAACCAGGATAGCATCAGATTAAACTGTACAAATCTTCTGTTAATTAAAAACCATTGTTCAACGAGAGGTAATTACAACAATATGTAAATAAGAAAAATGAAAAGGAGCAGAATTGATACTTTTCCCATGTATGATAAATTACACTTACTAACAGGCCCATAAATGTTAAAATAAATCAAATTAACAAAATAGCAGCCCTGGAAATAAATGAATGAGATACGGTCAGAACTCTTACCTTGTCCCTGTCATCGTTCTTGCCGCTGTGAGGATCAAAAGGACCTTCCCTTTTGGCCGGTTCACGCAAATGCAAGCAAAAGGCCATAGGTTCACTGAAGTTGAGTACTTGGATCCCAGTATGACCTCTGTACACCTAGTCTGCATATCACTGAAGTTGATGGATTAATATTGGAAATCTTCAAAACCCAAACAAAACAAAACCCATCTTATTCCTATCTTACAGATAGAAGTAATGGCTGGGATCCGGTGGCAGACAATCCTTAGAGGGGACAATTGGGTCGGTTTGCACACAATACATAAGCAAATCCGAACAGTTAACGTTAAACAAAGATAATGAAGATCAATGTATAGATCAACAGATGAATGAGTTATATACATATTATAAGAATTGTAAGGATTAGATTAGTTTAATCCTGGCTTGATGGATTTAATAAAACCGAACAAATCCCATCTCCTATCTTACCCAACGCGAGGGTTAAATGGTCGTTTCCTCAGAAACAACGGCATCTCTTCAATCGATTTGCACTTCCCATCCACTGCAATGTTTTGTTCCCTCAGATTTTCTTCTTTTGTGCTCTTCCCACCTTCGGCTACAGAAGAAAGAGCCTATCTATAATCCATACGGT